AAAGTGACTCAATGGAGAATTTGAAATAATTTCATAAAAGAATAATTATATCATATCAACATTCAATACCTCTCTCATAAAAAAACTGAAACTGGTTTGCTAATGGCAACTTATTTCGTTAATTGCATTGGAGAAAATAAAATCAGAAATATGAAATTCAATGAACCATCCCTCTTGAATTTTGTTGTAAAAAGAAACTCAAGTTTCAGCCCCAGGGTAGATAGTCGTGATAAGGGGCGTTCCAGGTCCAGATAATAGTATTACTAGCAGGTTTTGTGTTTCTGCCTCCAAAATAATGATTTCTATCTCCGGAAAAATGGTGGGTTTCCCAAATGTGGACACACTATTGTTTAAATGATAGCTGTGAAGTTTTGTGTGTTTGGATTAATGCATTATGTACCATTACTTCTGTAATCCTACCCGAAATATCTGTCAATAATGCCACTGACTGATATGGTATAACCCTTCCCTCCCCCTACCTCCATCCACCATCCATCTCTCCCTCTTCCTGTCTTCTCTCCTCATTAGTAGTACTTTCCCCCCCTCCCCATCAGCAGTAGCTGACTGGCTGGCTTTCTAGAAGAACTAAAGGCAGGTAGGCGTGAACTATGCTGCACTTCACAAGAGCTGCATGTGGGGTCCAGTCTCAGGTCTGCCTGGAGCAAATGTGGGATTACAACCAAAATGTGTCTAATGAAAATAAAAGATCTATGATTACAGCAGGGAAAACTGTTTTTAAAATCAACTTAATCATTGCAGATTATGACCAAAAATGTTCCTACTGATGGTGTGTGTGTTATCATCGCTTGTTAAGTTGTAAATCATCTAAATATGATAAAAACCTCATCAAAGTTGAACCAGTGATCCTTCAGGCTCTGATAGAGAAATGCTGGCAGTACAGACATTACATCTTGAACTACTCCAGACAGATAAAACATTGACAGTAAATATATCTCAATATACTTAAATCCCCCATCATTAACCGATTGGTCATATTTCATAACCATATGATACTCAAGCAGTGGAATTTACTGAAAAAATATTCAAGGTACAATTTTTTTTTCTGTTTTAGTTTCAGTTTTTCGTCATTATTAATAGATAATTATGTTGGAAGAATTTTAGCCTCTAAATATATTTTGACAGACACTAACACGATTAGAATTTACTTGAGATGCTATTTAATTGTCCAGAATATCTGTATTTAAACAAACATCATATTTAATTTAATTTTTTTTTCTATAATTTGTCACTTTACGTTGATGTATTCCAACTGAAAGCATGTGTCACTTCAAAAAATTGTGGAAGTGAAACAAAATAATGAAAATTTCATAAGATTTATCTCTTCTGACAAGTAGATGTAAGCATACTTGAAACAAACATTTTTCGGTTGGTAAAATTTACTTAAGAACTGGATAACAAGTTTTCACCTGTGATGGACATGACATTCTTCATTCCTGGCGGTAGTGTGACGCATGTAAATCATACATGCATAGATACACCCACACTCGCAGGCAAACACACCGATTATTAATGACACTTGCAACATTTCAACCAATCATTTATCATTACCTATAAAAATATTAAACTGGGAGCTTTTTCTCATAAAACATTCAACAAATACAGCTATTCAATAACTCTGGCGTTTTAACTTACCATGCTATTTCACAAAGGCAATATCCACTGCATCAAATGTCAAATGAAATGTGGTAGCAAAATTAACCTTGTATTATGAGATGACAAACTTTCCATATTCCCAGAACTGTAACAATTTCTTAAAACACAAAACCAGTCTATTACCCTATCCAATTTAATAATGCTGTGTTACTATAAATCCAGGACTACCTCTGCCACAATAATGTTCTTTTTAAATAATACATTACAAGTAAGCCCATAGTTAATACCTTCAACGATGATTTTATATCCTATTGGTATGAAACCTTGTCACATAATTTAAACACATACCACATAATATAATCTACTAATTCAATTTAAACAACTAAATTTTTGACAATTACATCACCAAAGATTATGCTGTTTCAAAATATCTGAATAACCTGAACAATTGGTGAATTTCCATAAATAGTATCAGTGACCTTGACCTTTGAACCCTGAAACATAAACACAACCACAGAATTATCACAGTTGACCTTTGTGCCCAATGTTATGAAATTCCATGAGAAATGAAGTCTTTAAGGTGATGCTACTGGTATTAGTTGATGCTTTTCTATAAATAGTAATAGTGAGCTTGACCTTGACACCAAGAGACAAGGCCATTGTAATAATCTGAGATATAGTTGACCTTTGTTGAAGCCATTAATTTGGGAGAGTGATAGGATGGGACAGGACGCAGCAAGACGTAATGCAACAGGAAAACTTGGATATCACTTTATGCTTCCCCCCTCCTACCCCCACCCCAAACCTCCATCATTTTCCCCACAATAAAACAGCAGGGGCATAAAGCCAAAAGAAGGGTTCAAGACATCTTCCAGCAAATATGACATGGATGATAACTGTGATGTGACATGTGATCAAGTTTACAAAGGGCTGGAGACTGTCCTGTAACATGTGGTTAGGTGGTGCTAGATCATGGAGTTCAATTTCCCTAACAGAAAAAATGTATGCGGTCGCATTCACCAGGTCACAAGGGTTTTCCCTGAGTACTCAGATTTTCTCCCTTTGTATAACCCCTTATGTGTTTCCAATGTTTAAAGCTTGTTTTGTCATTGGTGTAAAATAGAAGTAAGTTTATATATAATATATGTGACATGACAAGAAACGTCATATGACTTTCTGCATGAGACTGCCATGTGACATGTTGCATGAGACTGTCATGAGACATGTTACATGAGACTGCCATGTGACATGTTACATGAGACTGTCATGTGACATGTTGCATGAGACTGTCAAGTTGCATGTTGCTTTAGTAGCACACATCATTTTGGAGCAGACTGTCACCTGACATGTTGCATGAGACTGTCATGTGACATGTTGCGTGAGACTGTCATGTGACATGTTACATGAGACTTTCATTTGACATGTTGAAAGAGACTGTCATGTCCCATTTTTCCTAAGACTGTCATGTGATGTGTAACTGGAGACTATCTAGTGACCTTGATGACCAGGGTCTGCCATGTGATATTAGGCTGAAGACTTTTTTGTGACATGCAGACTGTCATGTGACCAAAGATTGCCATGAGGTTCATTTTTGTTAGAGATCATCATTTGAAATTTGGTGGTAATTGTCTTATGTTTAGGCTATGAATCATTAGTGTTGTCAGACATTTCCTAGATGTGTATCCAGGTTCTCACTTGAGTCCAACATATAACAAAAGTTTTCAGTCAACTTATCTATGTAGTTCAATGATCCAGACAAAATATATGTAAAGTGGATACACAGCTGCTTCCAGCCTGAATGGGAACAGAAACTAATTTGCTTGTATATTCTTATAGATATTTTGATAGAATATTCAAAGTAGATGATTTAGATTGGTAAAAAGCAATCAGTAGTTGTTGCATGTCACTCCCAGCAAAATATTTGGGAATAATCCAACCCACCCTTAGCCAATTGAAAATACTGTATCTTACCAGACCATCAGAAAAAAATATCAAAATAATTTTTAAAAATTGTCATTCTTTCATGATTCCATTTCAGAGTGAAATGTTGTACCATGTGCAATGGCGGCTGTGTAGCAATGACATTGCACTTGCCTCTAAGTCCGTACATCTGACACGACCTCCGAGAATTTATCAGGCAGCTGTCACCTGAATTCCTTAGATAATACCCAGCCATACGGTCTTGATGAACTTGTTTGTGACAAAATCAAACTCTAAATCCAAAGCATTGTAACATATGGTAGAATATATTATCACAAAAAAACTCAAATATTGTGCCGCATGGTTAAATAAAATTCAGAATGTACCCTGTTTACCTAGATTATAATATATCTTAGCCTGTCTAGGTCTGTTATACATATTAAAATATACAGAACCATGGTCTGATTATAAAGAAAGCAACCTTTGTTGGAAACCTTATACAATATTTCTTATAGAAATGAATATAGACAATTCAATACCAGATAGAAAATGCTGCAATTTAATGACACAAGAGAAGTCATAGATGACAGCAGGTCATGGAATGATGACAACAGCTGTTAAAAATGAGGAAACCAACTTACTTTCCAGAACACATCCTCAGTATGTTTCTCTCTTAATGAACTGGCAAGGATATGCATCAATCAGCGAGGAACTGAACAGGGTTTTTAGCCTTCCTGTTGCCAGTTATTGATGTTGATTGTGTGTATGTGAATGAGAAATGAAGCCTCTCCTGCTTGTCGCGCAGTCTGTCTGTGTGCGTCTGGCCGCAAATGCGATCACATTTGTCTTTCTCTACACGTGTGCAGAAGATGTTCACTCGGCTTGCCGATTTGTCCTCGGGTGTAATGGTCCTATATTGCTCCAGGCAATTCCACATTCACAAACACGATCTCGTCACATCACCTCAAAAACCTCAGACAATCTTACGACCACAGTCAATTTTCAGTGCGCATGTACAAGTGTTGTGCCTGTGTTGGGGGTCACGTGGAAAAGAATGGCTCTTCAGTATTTACCTGTGTTCCCTGTCCCCCTCATCAACACCTGGTCATTTCATTATGGCTATTGGTCATTAAACACTAACTGCTGTCAACCTGACTCCGCCGAGCCAGGCCAGGACAGGATGTTTCATCAAACAATTTTTTTTTAATAAATACAACATTTTGTTTACTAGTCCAGTAGAGAGGCTTTACAAAAATTTGTATAGATAACTGGGGTACAACACCTCTAAAGTCATTAATACTTCTATACACCTGTGTGTATACACATAGTGGTCATTCCTACCTGTGGCCTGAGATGACCCTAGACGACCTGCCACAAGCATTGATAAGTACACAGACAGACCCGGAAGGAAATAGGTCACCTCCTACATAGCCTTAGAATGGAGGGAGAAACCAAATTTCACCTACCTTGTCATAACTAGACCATCATGGTGTCCGGCTGGTATTGGTACTGTCCAGTCAGGCTGACCAAAGGGGCTGTGTGGACAGTGTGTTAGTGCAGCAGTGCAGGGAGTTAGCAGTGTGGACTACCGATACAGAGAACATACACTCATGTAGGGCAATACAGACAGAAAGCATGGATGGTTGTTCCACCGCCTAGACACAACGTCAACAAACTATATATAGTACAAGGTTTCTGATTGGTCCTGCTGGTTTTAAAGAATACATAGTGCATCGGAATTCAAGCCATGCACTCTTAAGTATGCATATGATGAAGAGGTCTCTCTATTAAATTCTGGTTTAGATCTGCAGCAGGGGTGGACACTTCCAAGATGACCAGGTGTACTAACAATAGTTTCTGCATGTATACCAGCAGACACAAGATGCTTTTTAGCTTAGTTATTAGTATATTAACTGTTTTTGCCCATAAAGCCTTGTCAGCTTGATAATCTAGAAGCTAAGGGTGTGGAGCAATACACATTTACTACTTTTCCCACACAATGCATTATCCCACACAGAAACTTCAATATATTTGCTGTTTTTTCTCATCTGGTAAATTACCCATTATATCTCATGTTTATGTACTGGTGATATCACACTGTAAGTTACATCATTTTAACCGTTTTCCCTCACACAGTAAGTAACAATATATTTACTTGTTTTTCCAAGCTAAGTAACCTTAAATTTTCTGTTTTTCCTCACATTATTTACTGGGAGTTTTTTCCACGCAGTAAGTTTCCTTTTCTTTCCTGGTGATTAACACATAGTAATTAACATGATATCTACCTGGTTTTTCCACACAGTAAGTTTCCTTTTATTTACTAGTGATTAACACACAGTAAGTTACATCATATTTACTGGTTTCCCCACACCGTATGTGTCATCATATTAAATTTTCCCACACAGTAAACTACAACATATTTAATGGATTTTTCCACACAAAGAAAGTTACATCATATTAACTGTTTTCCCCACACAGTAAGTTACATCATATTTACTGTTTTCCCCACACAGTAAGTTACATCATATTTACTGTTTTCCCCACAAAGTAAGTTACATCATATTTACTTGATTTCCCACACAATTCAAGTTACATCATATTTACTTGATTTCCCACACAGTAAGTTACATCATATTTACTAGTTTTTCCCACACAGTAAGTTACATCATATTTACTGTTTTTTCCCACACAGTAAGTTACATTATATTTACTGGTTTCCCCACACAGTAAGTTACATCATATTTACTGGATTTCCCCACACAGTAAGTTACATATTTACTGGTATTCCCCACACAGTAAGTTACATCATATTTACTGTTTTCCCCACACAGTAAGTTACATCATATTTACTGTTTTCCCCACACATTAAGTTACATCATATTTACTAGATTGCCCCACAAAGTAAGTTACATCATATTTACTTGATTTCCCACACAATTCAAGTTACATCATATTTACTTGATTTCCCACACAGTAAGTTACATCATATTTACTAGTTTTTCCCACACAGTAAATAACATTATATTTACTGGATTTCCCCACACAGTAAGTTACATATTTACTGGTATTCCCCACACAGTAAGTCACATCATATTTACTGTTTTCCCCACACAGTAAGCTACATTATATTTACTGGATTTCCCCACACAGTAAGTTACATCATATTTACTGTTTTCCCCACACAATAAGTTACATCATATTTACTGCTTTCCCCACACAGTAACTTACATCATATTTACTGCTTTCCCCACACAGTAACTTACATCATATTTACTGGTTTCCCCACACAGTAAGTTACATCATATTTACTGGATTTCCCCACACAGTAAGTTACATCATATTTACTGGTTTCCCCACACAGTAAGTTACATCATATTTACTGAATTTCCCCACACAGTAACTTACATCATATATACTGGTTTCCCCACACAGTAACTTACATCATATTTACTGGTTTCCCCACACAGTATGTGTCATCATATTAAATTTTCCCACACAGTAAACTACATTATATTTACTGTTTTCCCCACAAAGTAAGCTACCTCATATTTACAGGATTTTTCTCACAAAGTTAGTTACATTATATTTACTGGGATGTTTCTCTACATAGTAAGTTACATCATATTTACTGGATTTCCCCACACAGTAAGTTACATCATATTTACTGGATTTCCCCACACAGTAAGTTACATCATATTTACTGGATTTCCCCACACAGTAACTTACCTCATATTTTCTGGATTTTTCTCACATAGTTAGTTACATCATATTTACTGGGATGTTTCTCTACACAATAAGTTACATCATATTTACTGTTTACATCATATTTACTGTTTTCCCCACACAGTAAGTTACATCATATTTACTGTTTTCCCCACACAGTAAGTTACATCATATTTACAAGATTGCCCCACAAAGTAAGTTACATTATATTTACTGGTTTTCCCCACAATTTAAGTTACATCATATTTACTTAATTTCCCACACAGTAAGTTACATCATATTTACTAGTTTTTCCCACACAGTAAGTTACATCATATTTACTGTTTTCCCCACACAGTAACTTACATCATATTTACTGTTTTCCCCACACAGTAAGTTACATCATATTTACTAGTTACAAAGTAAGTTACATATATTTACTGGTTTTCCCCACACAGTAAGTTACATCATATTTACTTGATTTCCCACACAGTAAGTTACATCATATTTACTAGTTTTTCCCACACAGTAAGTTACATCATATTTACTGTTTTTTCCCACACAGTAAGTTACATTATATTTACTGGTTTCCCCACACAGTAAGTTACATCATATTTACTGGATTTCCCCACACAGTAAGTTACATATTTACTGGTATTCCCCACACAGTAAGTTACATCATATTTACTAGTTTTCCCCACACAGTTAACTACATCATATATAATGGATTTTCCCACACAGATTTTCACTACACAGTAAGTTACATCATATTTACTAGTTTTTCCCACACAGTAAGTTACATCATATTTACTGTTTTCCCCACACAGTAAGTTACATCATATTTACTGTTTTCCCCACACAGTAAGTTACATCATATTTACTGTTTTCCCCACACAGTATGTCACATCATATTTACTAGATTTTCCCACACAGTAAGTTACATCATGTTTACTGGATTTCCCAACACAGTAAGTTACATCATATTTACTGGATTTCCCCACACAGTAAGCTACATTATATATAATGGATATTCCCACACAGTAACTTACCTCATATTTTCTGGATTTTTCTCCCCACACAGTAAGTTACATCATATTTACTGTTTTCCCCACACAGTAAGTTACATCATATTTACTGGTATTCCCCACACAGTAAGTTACATCATATTTACTGGATTTCCCCACACAGTAAGTTACATCATATTTACACAGTAACTTACATTTCCCCACACAGTAAGTTACATCATATTTACACAGTAAGTTACATTTCCCCACACAGTAAGTTACATCATATTTACTGGATTTCCCCACACAGTAAGTTACATCATATTTACTGGATTTCCCCACACAGTAAGTTACATCATATTTACTGGATTTCCCCACACAGTAAGCTACATTATATATAATGGATATTCCCACACAGTAAGTTACATCATATTTACTGGATTTCCCCACACAGTAAGTTACATCATATTTACTGGTATTCCCCACACAGTAAGTTACATCATATTTACTGGATTTCCCCACACAGTAAGCTACCTCATATTTACTGGTATTCCCCACACAGTAAGTTACATCATATTTACTGGATTTCCCCACACAGTAAGTTACATCATATTTACTGGATTTCCCCACACAGTAAGTTACATCATATTTACTGGATTTCCCCACACAGTAAGTTACATCATATTTACTGGATTTCCCCACACAGTAAGTTACATCATATTTACTGGTATTCCCCACACAGTAAGTTACATCATATTTACTGGATTTCCCCACACAGTAAGTTACATCATATTTACTGTTTTCCCCACACAGTAAGTTACATCATATTTACTGGATTTCCCCACACAGTAAGTTACATCATATTTACTGGATTTCCCTACACAGTAAGTTACATCATATTTACTGGATTTCCCCACACAGTAAGTTACATCATATTTACTGCTTTCATATTTACTGTTTTCCCCACACAATAAGTTACATCATATTTACTGGATTTCCCCACACAGTAACTTACCTCATATTTACTGGATTTCCCCACACAGTAAGTTACATCATATTTACTGGTTTTTTACTGGATTTCTCCACACAGTAAGTTACATCATATTTACTGGATTTCCCCACACAGTAAGTTACATCATATTTACTGGATTTCCCCACACAGTAAGCTACCTCATATTTACTGGATTTCCCCACACAGTAAGTTACATCATATTTACTGGATTTCCCCACACAGTAAGTTACCTCATATTTACTGGATTTCCCCACACAGTAAGTTACATCATATTTACTGGATTTCCCTACACAGTAAGTTACATCATATTTACTGGATTTCCTCACACAGTAAATTACATTATATTTACTGGTTTTCCCCACACAGTAAATTACATCATATTTTCTAGATTTTTCTCACATAGTTAGTTATTATATTTACTGGTTTTTTTCTCTACACAGTAAGTTACATCATAATTACTGGTTTCCCCACACAGTAACTTCCATCATATTTACTGGATTTTTCTCATATATTTAGTTACATAATATTTACTGGGTTTTTTCTCTACACAGTAAGTTACATCATAATTACTGGTTTCCCCACACAGTAACTTACATCATATTTACTGGATTTCCCCACACAGTAAGTTACATCATATTTACTGTTTTCTCCACACAGTAAATTACATCATATTTACTGTTTTCCCCACACAGTAAGTTACATCATACTTACTGGTTTTCCCACATATCCTTGTATGTTTGACTAGGTTGTTATTCTCTAGTATAGGGACAGTTACATCCTCTTCGATCTTTAAAGTTTTTCTTTTCTTTAAAAAATACAATATATATCTTCAAATATATATTCATTTCAAATATTCCTCCTTGGAAATCAATC